GACAGCATCCGGCGCACAGGCCTGGCCCCCGAGGACCCCCCGCTGCCGGGGCCTCCAGCCTCACAGGCCCTGGCCTAGGCCTGGCCGGCTTGGGCTGGGCAGAGCGCCCAGCGCCCGGCCTCTCAGTGGTCGCGTGTGCAACAAATACAGATGGTGCCATCTGCCTCCCGGAGCTCCGTTCATTTGTGGGGCGGAGGGGGGAGGCCGGGTGCCGAGAGGGCGGCCGTGGCGGCCGGGCAGGGGCTCTGTGCGCCGTGCATCTCCCCAGGGAGCCGGAGAGCCTGTGCTACAAAGTACCCGCAGTGGCCGACCGGATACAAAGTTGCCCTGTGGCTGAGCTGTGTGTCCCTGCCCTGGCCGCCCGCTTGGCCAGTGGTCCCCAAGCGCGCCCACGTGTCTGGCTTGGGATTGGGACCCCCTCCCCTTCCACAGCACCCCCACCCGCGGCCCCTGGGGCCTCGGCCTGAAGAAGCGCTGCCTTGAGGGCCCGACTCCGGGCTCCCAGGTGCCGGCGGGCGCGCGGCGGCGGCACGGCCGGGCGCAGTGGCCCCGGCGGCCGGGAGGGGGAGCCGAAGCCCGCGTGCGGGCCGGGGCCGGGGCCGGGGCCGGGGGCGGAGCGCGCGCGGCGCCGAGCGGACGCGCCTCCCCGCCTAGGTGCTGGCGGGCGCGCGGCGCGGCGGGGAGGCGAGCGCGGCGCGGCTCGGCGGAGCGCGGTGAGTGCCCGGGGGCGGCCGCGTGCGCCCACTGGGGCGCGGCCGGGGCGCCTCGGCGCGGGGAGGTGACAGCGGCCGGCCAGGGCACAGGGCGGCCGTGGCAGGGCCGGAACCGGCGGATGCTGCGGCCGCCCTGTCGCCCGGGTGTGGGAGGCCGTGCTCGGCCCCGGCGGTGCCGGGCGCGCTCCCCGTGCACACGTGTCCTCGAGGGTGGGAGCCTGGCGCCTGAGCTCAGGAGCGGCCGGGCCAGGGGCGCGCTCGCGGCCCCCCCCCCCCCCCGCGGACATGTGTGGACACGTGCGTGGCCGGAGTCCCGGCAGGGCCTGAGCCGGCAGCGGGCGCCCCCGACCGCTTCTCCTTTGTCCGCCGTTCGGGGCGCGGCGCCATGGAAGACCCTGTCCGAGCCTCTCCAGCCGCGGGACAGAAAGCGATTGAATGGGGAGGCAGCGGCCAGCCCGGGCTCCGAGCCTCACCCCCCACTGCCTTTCTTGGGAGTAGGAGGAGCCGGCAGCCTCCTCCGTGGGAGAATTCACCCTGCAGGCCCGGGAGAAGCAGCGCCGGCCCGGGCTCTGCTGCTGTCCCCAGCCGGCCCGGGGCCTCGGTTTACCCAGCGGGGAGGGAGTGGACAGCGAGGGCTGGCTTAGCCCTGGGGCCTTTGTGGTCCGGCCAGGACCGCTGGGTTTCTGAGGCAACGTGGGTGTCCCTGGAGGGCCTGTGACAGCTGTCTCTCCCGCAGGGCTGGGAGCCTCCGTGGAGGCAGGAGGAGGGGGATGAGTCCAGGACGCTGCTCTTTGCTCCCCGTCCCAGGGCAGAGAGCCTCCTTCGCTCTGCTGAGGACTGGCCCCTGCCATGTGGGTGCCCCCACCCCAGATGGGACCTGAGGGCTGGGCCCGACCTCGCCCTAGAAGGCCTCAGGGCAGCTGGAAGAGCCGGGTGGGGCTGGGGGGAGGGAGAGATCAGGTTGAAGTTCAGAGGTCGGCAGGAGGCCCTGGGTGGGGCTGAGCCAGGTGAGCGAGAGCCTCGGTGACACTCAGCCAGCCCCGTCTTCCCTACTGACCCTGTGTGCTCCTGCCCCTAAGGGACACAAAGGCACGGGTGGGCACTGACTCATCTCCCCCCGGGGCACAGGACAGACCGCCCTCCCGGTCCTGGGGCCCTGGACAGGTTCCGGTTGGGAGGCGGTGCTGCACTCGGCCCAAAGCTACAGACAGGACCCCCGGCTACCACACCCCCAGCCGCGGGAGGCGGTGGGTCCCCGGACCACTTCCCCCATCCCTGAGCGCCCAGGCCCTGCTGGGCTCTGAGAAATGTCCCACCTCCTCTTCCCTTAGCCCCAGCTCGCCCAAAGTGAAAGAGAAAGTCGCCCCCCCCACAGGCCCGCCCCACCCCGCCCCTCGGCCAATCCCTGAGCCCCCCTCGCCTCCTCCCCCAGCCTCCCGGCTGCCGGCTTTATCTGCCAGGGGAGGCGGCTTTCTGGAGTGCTGGAGGATCCAGTGCCGCCGGCACCTCAGCGCGGGGGCTGGGGGGAGAGGCGCAAGCTTTCGGAGGCACCTTGGGTGCGAGCCAGCGAGCGACCCCGGGCAGCAGGCTGCGGGGTGAGTCTGTGATAGCTGACCCCCGACGGGACAGGGGTGGGGGCGACACGGGAGAGGATCCAGGGCTCCAGGACCCCCCATTTCACTTCTGATGGCTGCCCTCCATGGGAAGCCCCTGAGGCTGGCTCTGGCCCTGCGCTAATGGGAGACGCCCCTTCTTTCTTGCCTGCAGAGGATGGGGGGCAACCATGGGGAGCCCCAGGCCAGCCCCCCCGGCTGCCCACTTCCAAGGCCCCCGGAGGTCCCAGTGGCCACGGCCCTCTTGGCAGCCCTGAGCCAGGTGCTGGTGGGGTTTCTGGGGCGCCAGCCCCCATCCTGGAGAGGCCGATGCCAGCGTGTCTGCTCAAGGGCAGGGTAGGGGTGACGGTCACCACAACCGGGTCGGTCCAGGGGTCAAGGTGCACGGGCAGCCACGCTGACCCATGCCGCTGTCCCCCAGAGCTGCCTGGCCCTTTAAAAGCTGGAGCTCAGCCCGTGTGCACGTGAGCGCCAGCGTGTGCGTGTGGGAGGCCAGCCGGGAGGACACGGGTGGGGGTGAGGGGGTAGACATGCTGGTGGCTGCAGCCTGGGGCGGGGGTGAGGGGCAGACGCTGCCTCCCCTCTGCAGGCCCTGCTCTATGCCTGCCCCTCTCCCCTGCAGCACAGAAGCGCAGCGGCAGGCACCTACACAGTCCCTGCAGGTGGGAGGCCAGCACCTCCCCCTCGCCCGTCCACCCTCTGGCCACCGCCGACACCGCCTCCCCTCCCCCGCCGCGTCTCCTGCTCCTGCCTGGCTGTGCCGGAGTTAAATGGCTGAGAAACAGATCAGGTCAGCAGCAACCCCCAGCCCCCCCCCCCGCCCCAGGCCCCATCTGTGGTCGGGGGGCAGTCCTGACGGCCCCCTGCCCACACAGCCTGCCCGCCAAGCTCATCAACGGCGGCATCGCCGGCCTGATCGGGGTCACCTGCGTGTTCCCCATCGACCTGGCCAAGACGCGGCTGCAGAACCAGCAGAATGGCCAGCGCATGTACTCCAGCATGTGAGTGCCCGGCGGCCGGGGGCAGCTCCGCCCCTCCCTCATTCTTGGAAAGGGAGAACCCTCCTGGGGCAGGGCAGGGGCCCCAGGTCACCCCCTCCCCTTGGCTGCAGGTCCGACTGTCTCATCAAGACTATCCGCTCTGAGGGCTACTTCGGGATGTACCGGGGTGAGGCTCGGGACGCTCGGGACGGGGCAGCGTGCTGTGAGTGCTGTGTCCCCTGGGGCTGGCTGCACCTGCTGCTGGCAGTGGAGACTGGGATGAGGGAGGGGCCGGCCCGGGTTTATGGTAGCGGCTCCCGGCCGCTCACCTAGGCCTTACCCCCACCTGCCCTTGGTGCTGGTACTCCCCCCCCTCCGCCCTCTGGCACAGGCAGGAGCCCATCTGTGCCTAGAAACAAGGGGGGGCTGTGGCTGCAAAGCAGCTTAGGACACACTCGGAGCTGGGATTTGCCCAGAAGCCACGCAGCCCTGAGCCTTCGGCACTGGCGCACGGCCTCCCCAGGGCTCTGCCCCCACGGACCTGGACCTGTGTCCTACCAGTGCGAGCACCCGTGTTCCCCATGGAGGCCTCCCAGTGGGCTCTGGGCTCCCTGCTTCACTGCCCCATAGCAGAGAGACCAAAGCCAGAGGAAGGGGGCTAGCGGAAGGCCCGGCCCTGTCCCCACCAGTCCCGCCCCACCTGGCACAACCCAGGCCCAAATGTGGGTAAGAGGGCAGGAGGAGGCAGCCGAGAGCGGCTGGGATGGGGCTGTGCCAGCCGGAAGGCCGCGCTGGCTGCCAGCCTCCCAGCCCAGGCCACCGAGCGTGTCCACTGTGCCCCACCCCGTCTGAGCCCCGCGCGCCCACAGGAGCTGCCGTGAACCTGACCTTGGTCACCCCTGAGAAGGCCATCAAGCTGGCGGCCAACGACTTCTTCCGATATCAGCTCTCCAAAGACGGGTGAGGGGCTTGGGTGCCAGGGGACAGAGCAGGCCAGGGCTGAGGTCAGTGTAGCCAGCTGGGTGCCCCCCACCCGCCTGCAGGCCTCACCTGGACTGTTTGACCTTGTGGGGGCAGCCCCCCCACACACACACAGGGGCCCAGGGCCCCGCCCTCAGCCCCCAGGGCAGCCTCACCTGCAGTGGGAGGGACACTCGGCACCCCAGCTCCCTGCACGGGGCGTGTCCGAGGCTCAGTACCCCTCCCTGCCCCTGTGGCAGCAGCGTCTGTCTCACCTCTGGGGTGGGGAGCCTCCCCCTCCTCACGGGCCCCGCCCCTGCGTGACAGGCAGCCGCTGACCCTGCCTAAGGAGATGCTGGCGGGCTGTGGGGCTGGCACCTGCCAGGTGATCGTGACCACGCCCATGGAGATGCTGAAGATCCAACTGCAGGACGCGGGACGCCTCGGTGAGGGCGGGGCTTGCGCGGGGGGGCGGGGCGGCCGCCGGGGCCCCACCCCTCCCAAGGAGACTCAGCCGCCCCTGTGCCACCAGCCGCCCAGAGGAAGATACTGGCCGCCCAGGCGCAGCTCTCGGCCCAGCCCTCGGTGGAGGCCCAGGCTGCTCCCCGGCCCACGGCCGTCCAGCTCACCCGGGACCTGCTGCGGACCCGCGGCATCGCAGGCCTCTACAAGGGACTGGGGGCCACGCTGCTCAGGTTGGAGGGCCGGGCTGGTGGCAGGCGGCCGGGCCCCGCCCCCAGCCGCGCCGCCCCCGCCGCCAGCTTGCTGCCTCTCCACAGGGACGTCCCTTTCTCCGTCGTCTACTTCCCTCTCTTTGCCAACCTGAACCAGCTGGGCCGCCCGGCGACCGAGGAGAAGTCGCCCTTCTACGTGTCCTTCCTGGCCGGCTGCGTGGCCGGGAGCGCGGCCGCCGTGGCCGTCAATCCCTGCGATGGTCAGTAGGGGCCAGGGCGGGGTGCGCGGGCTCCCGGGCGGGGCTCCGGCGCTCACCCCCGCCTCTCTTAGTGGTGAAGACGCGGCTGCAGTCACTCCAGCGCGGCCTGAACGAGGACACCTACTCGGGCTTCCTGGACTGCGCCAGGTGCGCCGGGGCGGGGCGGGGTGGGGCGTGGGGGGCGGCGCCGGCCCTGGTCCTGACCTCCCCTCCCCCACAGGAAGATCTGGCGGCACGAGGGCCCCTCGGCCTTCCTGAAGGGCGCCTACTGCCGCGCGCTGGTCATCGCCCCCCTGTTCGGCATCGCGCAGGTGGTGTACTTCCTGGGCATCGCCGAGTCTCTGCTGGCGCTGCTGCAGCGTCCCCAGCCCTGAGCCCTCCCCCGTGGCGGAGGGGCTGGGAGGGGATGCAGGGTCCACGTGGGTGGCACACACCCAGGGCTTCGCCTGCCCAACCTTTGGGATCAACGTCTTATTTATGTAGAAAATGCGGAGATTCTTACATTCCTCAAGCCAGCCCCTGCCCCAGTCCTGTGCCGGCCTGAACGCCCCCGGGGACGGAGCTGGTCTCTGGGCTGGGGGCTCCCAGGCCTGGGCTGGGCAGACTGGACCCCACCCCCTCCAGTCCACCGCCTCTCATCTCTGAGGCCCTCCTGGTCCACGGAGGGGATCCATACAAACCTATTTATTGAGTCTGCTGCGCCCACGTGGCTCTGCCATCTTCCCGTCCGTCCGTCCGTCCGTCTGGCCTGCCGGCCGGCCCTGCTGCCTAGCTCACGTCGGCCTGGCCAGCATTGGGGGGGAGCCACACCCACCCTGTGGGACCCACACGTTGTGAGGGGTGGGTGATTGGGGAGCAGGTCCCGCCCACCAGCCCTCAGCTGGCCTGGCCCCGTGGGGCCCGGGTGCTGTCAGGCTGTCCAGAGAAGCCCCGCCCGGCCCCTCTTGCTGCATCTCCTGCAGACCTCTCCTGAGACACCCCCGTCCCTGCCCTGGGATTGGTCGGCCGGAGAGCAAGCAGGAAGACCAGCGGCCGGGCTGCCCTCCCCCAGGGTCCACTGCTCTTGGGACCTCTGCCGGAGGCCCCTGGCCACCCCCAGACCCCTGGACGCTGGGTGGAGGCCTCTCCCCGCCCGTCCCTGCCATGTGAATGTGTTGGTGATTGATCTGACGTGCTGGTGCTGTGTTCCCAGACTGGGCGCCCCGAGGCCCTCCCCCACCCCGTGACACTACCTGGGCTCAGTTCTCGGTTTCCCCGTCACGTCCGTACCTTGGAAGCTGTGCTGCTGCTTACAGATTATATTTTTTTTTCCTTTGAAGAGTTTTAAAAGTAATTTTTTGTGTCTTGTCATGTAAGAGGATAAATAAATATTCTACCTAGATGCCTCTCTGGGAGTCTGTTTGGGGGAGGGGCCGGGATGCTGGGCGGCCGCCTGCCCTAAGCCTCGCCCCGGCCGGGGGCGGAGCCGCGGTGGCCGCGAGGGGCGGGCGCTGAACCTGCGGCCCCGCCCCTCGCTGGTCTTCTGCCCGGGCGCGGTGCATTGTGGGCATCTCCCAGGCTCTCCGCACCGCATCGCATCGCATCGCATCGCCTGGGCAGCCGCCGCCCGCGGTCCAGAGGGAACGCAGCGCCGCGGTGCGAGGCCCGCAGGACGGCGTAAGGCGGGGGGCTCGCGGGTGGGCGGGGGGGGCCGAGTGTGGTGCCTGGGGGTGCAAGCCTGCCTGGTGCTCTCCTGAGCACCGCGGCTCTGGGAGGGGGAAGAAGCGGCTGGGAGGTGAGAGGGCTCAGAAATAAGGGAGGGGGAGACCACTGCCCGCTGCGCATGTGATGCCCAGCGGCTGGCACCCCCCTGCCGGGGGCGCTGGGGGTGGGAAAGGGAGGCCCTCGCTCCCTGGGATGCGGGGCAGTGGCTGGTCCTCTCCCCGGACACCCTCCTCACGCGGTGACCTTCAGATGACCTTCAGTGAGGTCACTGCATCAGGCCCGGGGTGGGGAACCTGAGCGGCAGCCTCGTCACTGGCTCCCTCTTCCTTCCCGGCTGGGGGACCCCTCAGCCTTCCCCCAGGGGAGACAGGCGGCCCCCAGGTCTCCAGGCAGGCGGCTGGGCCTGGGGTGCTGTCCCCGCCCTCACCTGGGCCGCTGAGAATCTGGGCGAGGCCCAGCCCATCCTGCACCCGGCCTGCAGGCTTGTTCTGGGGACACCTGCGTCCCCAAGGCAAGCACTGCCCCGGGGCAGCAAGGACTCAGTGTCCTTGAGCTGCCTGCAGAGGGGACCTCCAGGGAGCAGTCTCAGTGCCACCTCCAGGTCCTTGCAGTCCCACTCCCAACCCCAGCAGCCGCCTGCAGCCGGCCCCGCCCTGCCCTTCCCCACCTGGGCTGAGTGTGCAGGCCGGATTCTTCCCCCTCGGTGCCTCCCTGCGCCGGCGGCAGGGGCGTAGCCCAGATCTGCAGGAGGGCCCTGTCTGCCCACCTGCGGCCAGCCAGAGGGCAGGAGCTGGTGGAGGCCAGGCCAGCAAGAGGAGGGTCTGACACCCACAGGAAGCTCCCTAGAGGGGACTCCTGGGGGGACCATGAGCCGGGCAGGGGTGGGGGCGCCCAGGAGCGGAGCCTTGCCCACCCCCTCCCTGGTGTCTGCCTGCAGGCCCGTACCATGCTCAGGGACCAGCCGCGCTGACCGCCTGCCTGTCCCACACGCCCAGCAGCCCCACCTGCCATGGAGTCCAGAGGGAAGGGAACCAGCAGCCCCAAGCCCGACACGAAGGTGCCCCAGGCTGCCACTGAGGCCAAGGCCCCCCCAGCCACCGACGGAAAAGCTCCCTCCGCCAAGCCCGTGAAGAAGGAGGCCCAGACGGAGAGGCAGGAGCGGCCGGCAGCCCCTGCCCCCGCGCCAGCCAAGGCAGACCCCGCCCTCCTCAACAACCACAGCAACCTGAAGCCGGCCCCCGCGGCCCCCGCCGCCCCCGCCACTCCCGCCGCGCTCGGCAGTCCCGACGCAGCCCCAGAGCCCAAGGGTCCCGGGGATGGGGCCGAAGAGCACGCATCCACCTGCGGGGGCCCCGGGGGCCGAGGGCCCTGGCCCTTGGAGAACTTGACCCCCTTGCTGGTGGCCGGGGGTGTGGCCGTGGCAGCCGTGGCCCTGGTTCTTGGAGTGGTCTTTTGGGCCCGGAAAAAATGATGCCCGGTGCCCAGCTCGGGGCCGGGAGCCACTTTCTGTACAGAGCTGGAGGGCAGTGCATGCAAGGCCTCACCATCACACATCCGTGTACACACGCACACACCACACGCACACGCACACGTGCTCCCCAGCCCCGCCCCCGGCTGCACAGCCCTAGGGCCGTGGAGAAGGATGGGGCATTAAAGGGCGTGGTGTCTCATTCTCCCCACTCCTGCTCTCTGTGTGCAGCTGGGCGGGACACGGGGGGCTGACCGGAGGCGGCCTCCGCCAGTCCCTGGCCGGGCTCTGCCCAGGGCACCTTTCCCAGCTTGTGCCCGGGAGCCCCTGGGGCTGGGACTGCCTCACCCCCTGCCCAGAGTGGCGACTGTCCTGGGGGCAGCCGAGAGCCCCAGGGAGGGGAGGACCCTGAGGACCCCGCCCCCAGCTCCGCGAGGGCCCCTCCCATCTGCTTCCAGCGCCCCCTGTCTAACAAGCGTATAAATGCAATAATACCGGTAGAGTAGAACCATTTGGCGGGCGAGCGACACCCGTGCTCGGCCCCATCCTGCCTGCAGGGAGACTCTGGCCCTCGGCCCTGTGGCAGAGGGCTGGCTCTGTGGGAGCGAGGTGTGCCCACATCTGGGTGGTGGCCGTGGGCACCCCGGGCCCGAGGAGAGGCCGAGTCTGAAATAAACTCTGTTATCCGAAGGCTGGGCTGGCGTCTCACCCTGCACTCGGGTAGGGGGTAGGGGGTAGGGGCCGTGAGGCCCAGGTGGGGGCGTCTCACCTGCACTGGGAGGGGCGGGGCTTCCATGGGGGAATGAGGAAGGCACAGATGCCCATGCTGGGCTTTCCAGGGACAGGTGGGGGAGCCCCAGGTCCCCTGGCCGGCCCCCTGCCGCCCCAATGCCCCTGAGCCTGATGGGCTGACTCGCAGACCCTCAGCCTTCCCGGGAGCCCTCACACCAGAGGGACACTGAGCAGTGGGGCCATGGGATCGGGGACAGGGGCCTCATTCCAGGAGGGGCCCTGCTGTCGGCCTCTCAGCACCTCTCCCTGGAGGCACGCAGGCCCCCAAGCCCACCCCGAGCAGCCTCCAGCTGACCAGGCCTCCATGTAGCCCCAGAAGTGCTGTGGGCTCTCCTGGGCACCTTCCCCTAGACCTGCTCCACTTCCCGCGGGCCCTGCTTGTGCCCACCCCCACCCAGAGACACAGCCCACATCCGTCTCTGGGCCCCCAACCCAGGCCCAGATGGGGTCAGCACCCATGGTGCACCTGCTGCCCCGTCCCAGAACACCCGTCCAAACCTCCATTTTTGTCCATATACGTATAAAGATTTATTTGAGAAGCAGAGTTAGAGAGAGAGAGGTCTTCCATCACTGGTTCACTCCCCAGTTGGTCGCAACGGCCGGAGCTGCGCCAAGCCAAAGCCAGGAGCCAGGAGCTTCCTCGGGGTCTCCCACGCGAGGGCAGGGGCCCAAGGACCTGGGCCATCCCCCACTGCTTTCCCAGGCCAGAGCAGAGCTGGATCGGAAGTGGAGCAGCCGGGACTCAGACTGGTGCTCATGTGGGATGCCAGTGCCGCAGTCAGAGGCTTGACCCACTACACCACAGCGCCAGTCCCTGTCCACATGTTTTTTTAAGATTTATTTTATTTATTTGAGAGACAGAGATCTTCCACCAACTGGTTCACTCCCCAAATGCATCAGCCAGGGCTGTGCCAGGCCGAAGTCCGGAGCCAGGAGCTCCTTCCGGGTCCCCCACATGGGTGCAGGGGCCCCAGCTCTGGCCATCATCGGCTGCCTTCCCAGGCCACCAGCAGGGAGCTGGACTGAACAGGTGCTCTGATTGGGATGCCGGTTCACAAGCAGTGGGGTCACCTGCTGCACCTTCGCGCCGGCCGCTGCAGCCTCTTAACCTCTGCACCCCCTGCCACCGGCAAGTCCAGGAGGCCGCCGGCCGCGCAGGGAGCAGGGTGCAGGGCACAGGGCGCATGCGTGGCTCCAGCTTCCAGCTCACCAGCCCCTCCCAATCCCGCCATCCCGGCAGGCAGGCAGACAAGCTGTTGCTGGGCGTCCGGAGAGGGGGCGGCTGAGTCCCCCGGCGGCCGGCCCTGGGCGCTGCGGCCCTGGCAGAGTCTGAAGGGTGCTGCGGCTGTGCCGGCCTCGCGGGGCCCCTGCGGCACTGGGAGCAGAACAGCACTTGTTTTGTTTATTTTTTGTCTCCTAATTGTTCACCCACCTGAGAGAGAGCATCGCTGGCTGGCTCACTCCCCAAATGCCTGCGAAGGCTGCGGCTGGGCCAGGACTCGAACCCGGCACTCGGGAGCAGCACAGGCGCCAGCCTGGCCCCTGCACCAACACCTGCCCGCTCCCCTCCTTTTTAGGGCTGAAGAAAGCAACATCCCAGGAAGAATGGGGGGGGGTGCCCGTTCACGTCCCGGACGCGGGGACGCACGCTCAGCCGCCCGTGCACCCTGCACTCACACGGACTGCCTGCCACCTGGGCCGCGACTGCGTCTTTCCCGCCAGGACGCCCCAGGGCCCCGTGCACCCCCCGCCCGGACACGGGTCCCATCCTCTGCCTCCTGGCACGGCCCACCCTGAGCTGGCCGCCTGCCCCTGCCCGAGACCCCTTCCTCACGTCACTGCACAGCGGCCTTGTTTCTCCGACTTGGCGTCATTCCCAGAGACCCTCCTAAGAGGGTCTTGGGGCCGCCCAGGGCTTTTTTTTTTTTTTTTTTTGGATTTATTTAGGGGCCTGTGTTGTGGCACAGCAGTCAAGCTGCCACCAGGACACTCGCACCCCACATGGGCCCCGGTTCCGATCCTGCTCCCTGCTGATGGCCCAGGAAAGCAGCGGAAGATGGGACAAGGGCTTGGCCCCTGCGCCCCGTGGGAGACCGGATGGAGCTCCTGGCTTTGGCCTGGCCTGGCCCTGGCCACTGTGGTCATCTGGGCAGTGGACCAGTGGCTGGAAGGCTGCCTGGTCCCAGGCCTGCCTCCACATTTTTTTTAAGCAGGGAGCTGGATTGAGGCGGCCAGGGCCCACACTGGGGCTCCTGTGGGATGCCGGTGTCACAGCGTGGCTCAGCCCACTGTACCACGGGGCCGGCCCTTGAAAAAGAGTTTTCATTATTCTACCCCAGAACTACTCACAGGTAAGGTCTACACAAGCGTCAATGTAAAAAGCACCCAGTGCACAAAGCAAAGGCCGAAAAACTCGGAGCAGAGGGGGGGCCCCAGGGCAGCTGCACCCCCACCTGGCCCCCTGCCTCCTCCTCACACCCACCCCCCCCACACCCGGGACACCTGCCCCAGTGCTCAGGCCCTGCCCCTGCCCCTGCCCAGGGCGAGACCCACGTGTGGGGGTTGCCATTCACTGCCTGGTGTCCCTGCCCCTGCCTGAACCCATCCACACGGCACCCCCCCACCCCCACCTAATCCCATCCACACGGCACCCCCCACCCCCACCCGATCCCGTCCACACGGCACCCCCCACCCCCACCTGATCCCATCCACACGGCACCCCCCACCCCCACCTGATCCCGTCCACACGGCACCCCCCACCCCCACCTGATCCCGTCCACACGGCACCCCCCACCCCCACCTGATCCCGTCCACACGGCACCCCCCACCCCCACCTGATCCCGTCCACACGGCACCCCCCCACCCCCACCTGATCCCGTCCACACGGCACCCCCCACAGGCACCCTCCCACCTCCACCCCCCCACGCCACAGGCCCAGGGAGGACTCTCCTCTCCTGGTCCAGGTGCCCACATCCGGGATACCTGGTTGCTAAGGCATCTCAGTGAGGGAAGTTCCTGGGAAGGCGGCGCTGGGCGGACAGCGCCTACTGCTGCCCAGGGGCTCTGAGGGAGGGCGAGGAGCAGGCAGGGGCCGCCGGTCCAGGGAGGCCTCACCCAGAGACCGGAGGTGCTCCCCACCCCTGGATCCCAGCACAGCAAGGGCGAGAGACAGAAACCAGACCATGCAACCTCTGGTGCAGACCCCTCGGCCCTGACACAACAGAGCCCTGGTGCCCCCGCCCAAACCTGCTCCAGCACCCGGGTCCTGAGTAGCCCGCGAGTGACCCCAGCCCCACACCGGGTCCTGAGTAGCCCGCGAGTGACCCCAGCCCCACACCGGGTCCTGAGTAGCCCGCGAGTGACCCCAGCCCCACACTGGGTCCTGAGTAGCCCGCGAATGACCCCAGCCCCCACGCCCCAGTCCTGAGTAGCCCGCGAGTGACCCCAGCCTCACACCGGGTCCTGAGTAGCCTGAGGATGACTCCAGCCCCACACCCCAGTCCTGAGTAGCCCGCGGATGACCCCAGCCCCCATGCCCAGGTCCTGGCAGGGGACTGCCCAGCAGGTGCAGGCCTTCATCACCCAGGCCTGGGACTCTTCTCAAGAGGCGCCTGGCTGCAGACCTGTGTGGGCCCCAGGACCCCCCTGTGCTTTGCCCAGCTGCCCAGAGCAGACCTGGTCATGTCCAGGTGTGTCCAGTCCCTTGGCCCTAAGCAGCACCTGGGGGCAGGGGCCACGGGGCCGGCCACCAGAATGGGAGGGGCCCCGCCTGCAGCCGCTGGGGCCAGTGCACTCCAGGGCTTGCCCAGGCCTCTCCCCAGGGGTCACAAGATTGCCCAGGGCTGCAGCAGAGGCCGCTGGGCCCTCCATGCCCCCAGCATGGTCCTCAGAGCCCCTTGGCCTCCTCAGTCCGCCAGCCCAGGCCGTACTGAATGCCCGTTAGCCGGCTGAACCCCCACCCAGCAGCTTCAGATCCGCCGGGCCCCAAACCCAGACCCTTGACGCGGGACACCCCCAGCAGCCCGGCCAGAACCCGGTCGACTGCCCACTGTCCTGGGAGGCGGAGCCCACTCGCCCCTGCCCACCCCCCTGGACGCCTGCGGAAAAGCCCCTACCCCTCAGGTGCACAACCTGCGCGGTTACCTGCCCGGACTCAGGAGGCGCCCCTGGGGCAGGGACCCGCGCCCACGGGAAAGGACCCTCGTGCACGGGGCAGGCACCCCTGGCCGGCGCTGGCTGGAGGAGCCCATGGCCAAGTTAGGGACAGGAAAGGGGGAACAGAGCTCCCGGAGTGACCAGCACCAGATGCGGGCCGGGGTCTCCTCGAGTCTGCGGGCATCCGGCCGGGGAGCGCTCTCTCGTCGCTCTCCGGAGCAATCCCCGCCCCCAAGCCAGGGCAGCCGCGGGCCCTCGGAGCAGCGGAGAGAGCCGCCCGCTACGCGCCCAGACCCCCAGCCCCAGGACGGACACCGCCCCGTGAAGAAGGCGACAGCGCATGCGCACAGCCGCGGCCCCGCCCCGAGCTCGCATCCTCCCGGGAGCGCGCGCCCGAGCGCCCCGCCCCTCGGCGCATGCGCACGCACGCCCCCGCCGCCATGGCTGCCGAGAGGCTCCCGAGCCGGCCCGCCTGTCTTCTGGTGGCCAGCGGAGCCGCGGAAGGTGGGGTCGCGGGCCGCGGGCGGCCGCTCGCCGGGAGGCGCGGGCCGGGGTCCTGGGGGCGGCCCTCTGCGGCCCTGCTGCCCGCGCCTGAGGGGTCTCCCAGGAAAGGCCCCCGGCGGCCGCAGCGTCGGTGGCCAGCGCTGGGGCCGGGCCGCCCAGGCTACCCGAGACCCTCGTCCTGCAGGTGTGTCCGCCCAGTCCTTCCTCCACTGCTTCTCGCTGGCCAGCGCCGCCTTCAACCTGCAGGTGGCCACGCCCGGGGTGAGTTCCGCCAGCGCCCCGGGGTCCCGGCCCCAGGCGGCTGGGGTGACCCCTGGGCTGGCTCGGCCGAGGGCGCCTCTGTGGCTTTTCTGTTGCCTGTGGGGGCGGGCGTGGCCGTGGCCCTCAGGCGTGGACGGCTCCTAGGAGGGCCGCGTTGTGCGTCTGTGGCTGCGCAGGCTGGGACTGAGGACTGTGGGGTCAGGGGTGTGGCAGAGCCCGCAGGACCCCGGGCTGTGTCCACTCGCGTGTGGGACTGCCCTGGGCCGCCACACACAGGGCCCCCTCTGCCCGAGGGCCTCAGCCGACCCGGGATGACCAGCGCTCGCCTTGCGTGGGCAGGGGAAGGCCGTGGACTTCGTGGATGTGACCTGAGAGCAACGCGCGCTGGGTGCAGGACTTCCGCCTCAAGGCCTACGCCAGCCCTGCCAAACTCGAGTCCATCGACGGTGGGCGGAGGGCGTCCCCCGGGGGAGGGAAGCGAGGGGAGCCTGGCCCTGCCCCCCCCGGCGGCCGTGCTGGGGCTGACCGCGGTCTCCTCCCAGGCGCCAGGTACCACGCCCTGCTGATCCCCAGCTGTCCCGGGGCCCTGGCCGACCTGGCCAGCAGCGGGTCCCTGGCCCGCGTCCTACGGCATTTCCACTCTGAGAGCAGTAAGTGGCCCCGGGCCCGGGCGGGTGACAGGGTGGCCCCAGGGCCCGGGCAGGTGACAGAGTGGCCCGGGCTCGTGGGCTGGGGGGGGTGATGAGCTGGGGCCGGCACTCATGAGGACAGTGTGAAGGGTGTGGGGCCTCTCACGGTGTCCCTGCAGCACCTGGGGATGGCAAATAGGCCCACCGGACCCCCTCAGCCTCCCTGGGTCCCCCTACACTTCCACTGGCCCCCCTAGACCCCCGAAGCTTCCCAGGACCCCCAAGGCCCCCCTGGATCCCTGCAGCCCCCTAGACCCCCGTGGCCTCCTGGACCCTTGTGACCTACTGGACACGCGCAGCTTCTTGGGACCTCCGTGGCCCCCCTCTGGCCTCCCTGGATCCCCACAGCCTCGTGGGACCCCACTGGCCCCCGTGGGTGTTTCTGGGCCACCAAACCCTGCAGGCCTGGGCTCTGAGCAGGCCCCTCCCGAGCACCTGCTGGGTGTTTCCTGTGGGGGGGGGGGGTGTCCGGGCCTCAGGCCTCCCCCTCGCTGCTTTCAGAGCCCATCTGTGCCGTGGGCCACGGTGTCGCCGCCCTGTGCTGTGCCACCAACGAGGACAGATCCTGGGTGTTCCGGGGCTACAGCCTGACGGGGGTGAGTGCCTCCCGCCCGCCCCGCCCTGGGGCTGCCCGTCCCATGGGGTGGGGGCTGTGCGCCTGCCGCTGCACACGGCCCCTCCAGCAAGAGTGGGCGCCTCGCTCAGGGGCTGTGAGGGGTCTGGCGCGGCTGAATGACAGCCTGGGGCGAGGACGGGGTCTCCACCTGCCCGGGCCCGCTGGCTGTGGGGTCAGGCGGAGAGGCCCCGAGGTGGGCGGCAGTGCAGCCTGTGACTGGCTGCCTCCCGCCACCCCCAGTTCAGCCGTCCTCCCTCCCTGTGGGACCCCCCCCCCAGCCTGGCCTGACTGGGCCCCGTCTGGCGTGTGTGGTGGGGTCCCTCCCTGCTCCGTTTGGCCTTGCCGGTCTCTGCGGCAGCCTTGAGTGGCGGCGGGTGGTGGGCGCTGGGCGGGGCAGCCGGCTCAGCTCCGCGCCCGCCGCCCCCAGCCCCCCGTGTGCGAGCTGGTCCGGGCGCCTGGCTTCGCCCGCCTGCCGCTCATCGTGGAGGACTTCGTGAAGGACGCGGGCGCCAACTTCAGCGGTGAGCCGCGGGCGCCGCTGCGGGGATGGGTGGGGCTGGCAGCCCGGGCCACGCGGCCTGTGGCCCGCTGACCACCGGAGCCCGTGTCCTCGGTCCTCAGCCAGCGAGCCAGGCGCCGTGCACGTCGTGCTGGACCGCCACCTGGTCACCGGCCAGAACGCCAGCTCCACCGTCCCCGCCGTGCAGAACCTGCTCTTCCTCTGCAGCCGGTGAGGGGCCGGGTGGGGGGCCGCGGGGGCGGGTGAGGGGCCACGGGGGCCGGGTGAGGGGCCACGGGGGCGGGTGGGGGGCCGGGTGAGGGGCCGCTGGGGCTCGGTGGGGGGCCGCGGGGGCCGGGTGGGCGGCCGCGGGCCAGAGCTGGCTGGGCCCTGACCGAGTGCCTGTCCCGCAGGAAGTGAGCCGGGAGGCCACCTCGTCCTGGAGCCCCCCCCCCCCCCGGGTGCTGGGCGCAGGCTCCTCCCGCCCTGGCCACTGGGGGAGCCTGGGGAGGGGACGCTCGGACCGGAGGTGAGCAGGGCTGTTTTGGAGCTGCAGCCCGGCGCCTGGCTGGTGCCCCCCTGAACCCTGGCCTGGCCTGTGGCCTCAGATGTCAGAGGCGGGGGGCCCGGAGCTGGTGCCGTGGGGTTCCCTGCCCGAGCCCTCCGCCCTCCGCCCTCCTGCTGGGGTGTGGCCTGGCTGCAGCCTCCCTGCCTCTGCCCCAGGCAGCTGTCCAGTGTGGGGGTCCCAGCCCACCCAGTGCCCACGGCCTCCCTGGCCCCTCCACGGGTGCTGGTGGGCGCGCAGACGTGGGGGGGACGCAGAGAAGCAAACCGAGAACAGCGTCCCTCCACCTTGACGCCCGAGGTCCGGGCTGGCTCGGCGGTGCCCAGCTGGGGGCCTCCTGGTCCCTGTGAGCTCGGGGACTTGGGGCACATGTGGTGTAGTGGTGGGCGCCTGGGGGAGGAGCCCCCCAGGCACAGGAGCCCAACAGGAGTCCCAGGGTGGCCCAGAGGAGGAAGCGCAGGAAGTGTGCCTCAGGAGGGCCTGTGTAGGGGGCAGGGACAGGGCAGGACTGCACTGCCCCCCAGGGGAGGGGAGGCCCCAGCGTCAGGGCCCCCCAGGGAGTTGAGTGCAGGGAAGGGCTGCCCACAGGGCCTGGCCTCCGTCCTGGGAGACCTGCAGGACAGCCCACTGGTCAGCTCCCAGGGAGGGGGCTCGGCTGCTGAGGGAGGGACCCAGCGCGGGGTGTGGGATGATGAGGCTCTGCTCAGCCCTGCTGTCCCCACAAGGTGGCGCCACTGGGCTGCACAGGAGCCTGAGCCTGGCCTGGCCCCGGAGGTCAGCAATGACTGCTCCCTGCACCCCGAGCTGGGACGCAGGGCAGGACCCCAGGACCCCGGCACCAAAGCCCACCCCTCCCAGCCCCACCAGTGCAGCTCTGAGGCCGACCCTGACTGGGGTCAGCCGGGAAGGGATGTGACGGGCGGTGGCTGGGCAGGGAGGAGACCACAGAACAGTGAGGAAAGTGACTGCTTCAATGCGTTAGGCAGAATTTACATAAAATCAGAAACCTGTGTCCATCCCCGCTCCAATTCTACAAAACGATTCGTCAAGCCAGGCGTCCGCCCGTCCTGGAGGGCGCGGTCGGGTCCCGCCTGGGGTCTCACTTGCCGTTCTCCGAGCCGTTCTCCGAGCTGAACATGCGCTCCTGCGGTGGAGCGCGGGGTGAGCGGGCCCCCAGCACGGGTGTCTGGCGCGGGGCAGCCCCCCAGCGCTGGTCTCCCCCGGGCACTCACCGTCAGCACGCGCTCCAGCTTCACGGCGTCGGCGGCGAACTTGCGGATCCCGTCCGAGAGCTTCTCCACGGCCATCTGGTCCTCGTTGTGCAGCCAGCGGAAGGCCGCCTCGTCCAGGTGCACCTGCTCCAGGTCGCTGGCCTGGGCTGCGGGACGCACACGCACCAGGGCCCTGCAGGCCTGCCCCGGCCCACGCCCCGCCGCCCCCCGCCCGCCCGCCCCCGGCACGCCGGCCTCACCCGCCTTGGCCGAGAGCACGGGCGCCAGTTTGGTGCTGTCCCTCTGCAGCTCCCCCAGCAGCTTGGGCGAGATGGTGAGGAAGTCAGCAGCCGGCCAGCGCCTTGATCTCGCCCGTGTTGCGGAAGGAGGCGCCCATGACGATGGTCTTGTAGCCGAACTTCTTGTAGTAGTTGTAGATCTTGGTGACACTCCGCACCCCTGCAGGGGCCGGGCACAGGTCAGCCCGCTCGCTGGGTCAGCCTACCCCACCCTGCAGCCCGCGCCCGCGGCCTCACCAGGGTCCTCGAGGGGCTCGTAGGCCTTCTTCTCCGTGTTGGCCACGTGCCAGTCCAGGATGCGCCCCACGAAGGGGGAGATGAGCGTCACGCCCGCCTCGGCGCAGGCCACGGCCTGGGCGAAGGAGAAGAGCAGCGTCATGTTGCAGTGGACGCCGTGCTGCTGCTCCAGCTCCCTGCGGGCGGGGACACGGCCTCTGAGAGGAGCCCCCCCAGCAGCCCGCCGCAGGGCAGGTGCCGCAGCCTGCACGTCCACACCCCGACCTGCGCACTGCGCGGGGAGGCAGGTGGGGCCGTGCCTCGTTCACGTGGCCCGGCCACAACAGGCAGACCCGCCAGGGTCCCGCACAGGGCCTGTCCTGGCTACAGCTGCGCCACCCCAGGGACTCCAGCCGCTAGCTCCTGTCCCTTCTGCGCCGAGCATCCACGTGTACACGTTCACTCTAATAATTTATCTTAAAAGACGTGATGTACTGTCCATTTATTTGAAAGCCAGAGGTGGACATCAGCACACACACAGCCCTTCTGTCTGCTGGTTCACTCTCCAGATGCTGGGCCAGACGAGCCAGGAGCTCATCCGGGTGTCCCCCGTGGGTGCAGGGGCCCGGGAACTTGGGCCATCACTGTGCTCTCCTGGGCCGTGCAGTGGCTGGGGGCTGGAACTGGGACGGAGCTGGGACTGGAACCCACGCTGCCGTGGCGTCCCAGACAGCACACGCCGGCCCCGACCGGTCACGTTTAAAACCATGTAAGATCTCTGCTGACTCTGCCTTTCCGAGAAATCAATCATTTGAGACAAAGGGGGGGGGGTCTGGTGCTTGTGCCGCCCCCATCTGAGTGCCAGCTGCAGTCCCAGCTGCGCCACTTGGTCCAGCTCCCGGCTAACGGCCCCAGGAGGCTGTGGAGGTTGACCCCAGAGCCTGGGCCCTTGCACCCACGTGGGAGACCCTCCAGGCTCTGGCTTCAGCCTGGCCCAGCCCTGGCCACTGGGGCCTTCTGGGAGGGAACCTGCAAGTGGAAGGCCCCTCTCTCCCCCTCTGCCTTTCAAATCAGTAACTAAGTCTTACACCGCACGCCCACTTAGGCCTGTGGGACCAGGCGGGCACACCTACTTTCCTGCCTGGATGCCTTCCCAGGTGGACGCCAGCTTTATCAGAATCCTGTCCCTGCTGATGCCGGCTTCCTCGTAGAGCTGGATGAGGCGCCTGGCTCGGGCCACCATTGCGTCCTTGTCGAAGGAGAGCCTGTGGGAGCGAGGGGACCCTTCCAGGCAGGTGCAGGGAGGAACTGAGACCCCGCCCTCCACAAGTGCCTGCCCACGCCCCGGGGCTCCCAGGATCGCACGCACCTCGCGTCCACCTCTGTGGACACGCGGCCCGGAATCTTCTTCAGTATCTCTGCTCCGAACAACACAAAAAGCTTGTCCATGGCGTCTTTAATCTGGTCCTCTTGGGACCTGAAATTCCAGAAGAAGCATGCTCAGGCTTACAGGGGTCTGCGAAACAAGTCCCGCTCCCCCAAGGACGCAGGGGGACGGGCGGGTGACGCGGCTGCCTGCACCCTGCATGCGGTTCCCTGCCCGAGCACCTGGGAGGCGGCACGGGAGGGTCCAAGTGCTTGGGCCCCTGCACCCACGGGGGAGACACGGATGGAGCTCCCGGCTCCAGCCTGGCCCAGGCCTGGCCGCCGCAGGCATCTGGGGTGTGACCCTTCACTCTGCCTCTTCAGCAGAAAAGTGGATAAGACATTAAAAACGTCACTTAAGAAAGGAGCGGGGACCTCGGTGCTACACCGTGGGGCGGGCATGTGGGGCGCACGCTGCAGACGGAGCCCTGAGTGCGGCAGGTGCGCCCAGGCTCAGCAGGCACTGGGGACGCCCCAGAACCCGCGCCTGAGGGAGACGGGGCCTGGCCGGCACTCACCCGCCGCGCGCCTTGCCGTAGGCCATGGCCTCCTGCACCAGCTCCTGGTAGGCGGGCATCTGCGCTGCGGCCAGGATCAGCGACGGGTTGGTGGTGGCATCCTGGGGCTTGAACTCCTCGATGGCTGGGGGCACGATTCCCACACACAGGAGGGTCAGTCGGCGGCAGCCTGACAGGGTCCCCCCGGCCCCACGCCCCTCGCCGTCTGTCGCCAGGGCTGGCCAGGAAGCAGCCGTTTGCGCAATGGCGAAAGCACCACCAGTGCCGAGCGCCTGAGGCCAAACGCACTCGGCGAGAGCCGACTTCTGGTCCTGTGGGAGCGGGCGGGGTGCCCACTGGTGCAAAGTCGGCACACAGCAGGCTGCCGCCCGCAGGCCCCATCTTGGCGTGAGCCTGTCCTCAGGAACCCAGTGGCGCCTGACCTGGGCCTTGTGGCCAGGCCGCCCCAGCGGGACATCCACGTGAAAAGCAGGCCGGTGTTGGGCACAGCGGGTTAGGCCGCCTGCAGCACCAGCACCCCCCACGGGCGCCTGCTCCGTTCCTGGCTGCCCCACTTCCAATCCGGCTCCCTGCTGACGGCCGGGGAGGCTGTGCTTGGGAGACCCAGAGGTCCTGGCTCCCAGGCCATCAGGGGAGAGAACCAGCGATGGAAACCCCCACCCCCCACCCCCCGCTCTGCCTTTCAGGTAAATAATAAAACTTTACAAAGAAGCACAGCAGGTGCACAGCCCTGGTGCCGCCCAGCGCCGGTCACCGCAGGTGCCGGGCAGGAGTTCCCTGAGCAAAGCACGAAGGTTGGTGGCTGACGGGGGACCCCGTGTGCCCTCCGGGGCGACGCCACGCACGCGCCCTGACAGGCGGAAAGGGACGCCTAGCTCCCAGGGCCGGACACCTCCCCAGCTGTTTGTTTTAAGATTCGTTATTTACTTGGAGGGCTACCCGCTGGTTCACTCCCCAAATGTCCACAGCAGGCCAGGGCTGGGCCAGGTCAAAGCCAGGAGCCGGCAGCTCCCTCGGTCCTCCCACACGGGCGCCCGGGCCATCAGAGCAGCTGGGGCTGCAGCCGGCACTGATATGGCTGCTGGCCCCCGCGGTCCTCAGGATGTCCGCACTGGGGCACGGAGCCGGCACGGTCGGCCAGAACCCACCGAGTGCTTGGGAAGCTGGCGCTGGTCACCTCGTTTTCACAACGCAAAGCAGGACCAAGGTCTGGCCGGGACAGCAGACGGCTTCGGGGCCCAGGGACCCTGCACACGAGGGGGGCTCCAGGAAGAGCACCCACAGCTTTGATCTCGTTTCCGAGGAGGCCTGTGGGGCCAGCGTCTCTGACCCAAGAGCTGGGCCCCTGCACCCACGGGGGGACCCGGATGGGCTCCGGGCTCCTACTCCAGCCTGGCCCAGCCCTGGAGGTTGCAGGCATTTGGGGAGAGCTTTCTCCTCCTCTCCCCTGTCCCTGTCCCACAGCGGGGAGGGCATTAGGACACTGCTGGGTGCCTGCGCCCCACCAGAGGGCCCGGGCTGCAGTCACAGCTCCACTCCTTGCCCAGCCTCCTGCTGGACACGCCCTGGGGGCAGCAGGTGCCGGCTCCGGGGCACGTGGGGAAGACCCTGGTGGTGACCCGAACTCCTGGTCTTGTCCCAGCCCAGCCCCAGCTACGGCCAGTTATCAAATTAAATTAAAATATCATCACTTGTGTTTAAAGACAGCTCGGCCCCGCCCACAGCCCCCAGGCTCCAGCTCGGACCCCGCCCACAGCCCCCAGCTCGGCCCCGCCCACAGCCCCCAGGCTCTAGCTCAGCTCTGCCCACAGCCCCCAGCTCGGCCCCGCCCACAGCCCCCAGGCTCCAGCTCGGCCCCGCCCACAGCCCCCAGGCTCTAGCTCAGCTCTGCCCACAGCCCCCAGCTCGGCCCCGCCCACAGCTCCCAGGCTCCAGCTCGGCCCCGCCCACAGCCCACAGCCCCCAGCTCGGCCCCGCCCACAGCCCCCAGGCTCCAGCTCGGCCCCGCCCACAGCCCCCAGGCTCTAGCTCAGCTCTGCCCACAGCCCCCAGCTCGGCCCCGCCCACAGCCCCCAGGCTCTAGCTCAGCTCTGCCCACAGCCCCCAGCTCGGCCCCGCCCACAGCCCCCAGGCTCCAGCTCGGCCCCGCCCACAGCCCCCAGCTCGGCCCCGCCCACAGCCCCCAGGCTCCAGCTCGGCCCCGCCCACAGCCCCCAGGCTCCAGCTCGGCCCCGCCCACAGCCCCCAGGCTCCAGCTCGGCCCCGCCCACAGCCCCCAGGCTCCAGCTCGGCCCCGCCCACAGCCCCCAGGCTCCAGCTCGGCCCCGCCCACAGCCCCCAGCAGAGCCGTGCACCAGCTCCCCGGTGGGCGGCCGGGACCCAGGGACTGGGCCGTCACCGCTGCCGCCCAAGGTGCGCACGGCAGGGAGGAGGGTCAGCACCGAGACCGGCCGGCGGCCGGTAAACAAGGCGCCCGCCCGGTTCCTCAAGTCACCGTGAGAAAGCAGAAAGGAGAGGAAGTCGCCTCCTCTTCCTCCTCGCGGGCCGACTTCCCCGAGAACCCTACCTGTCCCCAGCACCCACGCACCCTGCGAGGGCGCGCCACCCACCCACCCCGCGGGGCCGACTGGCGGGGGCGGGGGCAGCGACACCGGCCCGGCCCGGGCGAGCCCCAGGGCGCACGGCCTCCGCGGCTCAGGGGCTCTGGACGCCGGCCCCACCCTCTGCCCGGTCCTGAGGGGGCTCCCGGGTAACCAGGGGCTCCGAGGCCGGGGTGTCCCGGGGCGCCACGGAGCCGGCGGCCCTGACTCAGGCTGCGGTCCCCTGACCCCGGCCCCGGCGCCCCTGACCCCGGCCCCCGCGCCCCCGGCCCCGGCCCCCGCGCCCCCGACCCCGGCCCCGGCCCCCGCGCCCCCGGCCCCGGCCCCCGCGCCCCCGACCCCGGCCCCGGCGCCCCCGGCCCCGGCCCCGGCGCCCCCGACCCCGGCCCCCGCGCCCCTGACCCCGGCCCCGGCGCCCCCGGCCCCCGCGCCCCTCTCCGGGTCCGCGGAACTTCCGCCCCGGGCTGGAGGCCGGCTCGGGCGCCGCGCGGGCGAGGGCGCGTGCACCGCGGCCCGGCCTCACCGTGGAAGTCGCCTGTGTCGGCCACCACAGTGGTGAACTGCTTGAGCTGCTCCAGCGCGGACTCCATGCGCTGGCGCTTCACGGGGGACCCCGACATGGCGCGGCGGCGGCGGCGGCGGCGGACGCGGGAGGCGCAGGCCGGGCCCACAATGCCCCGCGCGCCCGGCCAATCGGAGCGCGGGGCAGGAGGGAGGGGCGGGAGGCCCCGCCCCTGGAGACGGGGCCCCGCCCCTGGAGACGAGCCCGCCTCCTCGCTTGAGCCCCGCCCGCGGAGGCCGAGGCCCGCCGCTCCCCGGCGAGAGTGGGCAGGGCCGCGGCGGGGCGCGGCTGGGGGTGGGTTCTCTGCAGCCGACCAGTGCCCGTGAACCGGGGTGCGGGGCTGCGCGTCGTTCCCTGGCCTCGCGTCTTCTTGCGTCTAGTTCTGAACGTTGCGTGTCGTGCTCGCCTGGTCCCCTTTGGGGCGCCCGGTGGGGACCCACCCGCCGCAGTGGTGCAAACTAGCTGCCAGGGGACCCCTCCCCACGGAGACGGAGGTGGGACGCGGGGCGCCTCTGCCAGTGCGGACGCTCCGGGCCCGCTGGGACCCGCACGTGGCGCTACGGGCCTACAGCCCCGCACAGGGCGAGGACCGGGAGGGGCTGGCTCTGGGGCTGGGTGGGGTGGGGAGGGGTCGACGCAGAGGGTGAACCCGAGTGGGAGCCCAACCTCTTCTCTCCTGCCTCTTGGTTTCCTAAGTTATGTGTTTGAAAGGCAGCGAGAGGCCGGCGCCGCGGCTCACTAGGCTAATCCTCCACCTTGCGGCGCCGGCACACCGGGTTCTAGTCCTGGTCGGGGCGCCGGATTCTGTCCCGGTTGCCCCTCTTCCAGGCCAGCTCTCTGCTGTGGCCCGGGAGTGCAGTGGAGGATGGCCCAAGTGCTTGGGCCCTGCACCCCATGAGAGACCAGGAGAAGCACTTGGCTCCTGCCATCGGATCAGCGCGGTGCGCCGGCTGCAGCGTGCCAGCCGCGGCGGCCATTGGAGGGTGAACCAACGGCAAAGGAAGACCTTTCTCTCTGTCTCTCTCTCTCACTGTCCACACTCTGCCTGTCAAAAAAAAAAAAAAAAAAAAAAAGCAGAGAGAGAGAGCGCGCAAGAGAGAGAGAGAGAGAGAGAGAGAGAGAGGGCTTCATCGTCTGGTTCACTCCCCAGGTGGCAGCAGGGCAGGGCCAGGCCCAATCCAGGAGGAGAAGAATCCCCACCGGGTCTCCCTTGTGGGTGCAGGGCCCCAGCCCTGGGCGGCGTCCTCTGCTCTCCCAGGCGGTCAGCGGGCGCTGGATGTGGACCAGGCAGAGCAGCCTCTGGAGCTCGGTATCTGCATCCAAGACTCCGGCACAACCCGGTCCCCACCGGGTCGTCTAAGTGACTTGTTTATTTAGAAGAGAGATGGAGAGAGACAGAACGAGAGACACAGAACGAGAGACTGAGAGAGACAGGGAAAGAGCCCATGCCCACAACAGCCTGGCTGAATTCGGATTGGACGCTCCAGGTTTCTCCCTGTAGCAGGGCTGAGCAGGTGCCACCGGGCTGGGGGCTGGGGGCTGCCCACCAGCTGGAGGGGCGCACACCCTGTTCCCTCACCCTCCTCCCTCCTGCCCAGGGCTGGCAGCTGCTTCCCCCAGGGCCACGTCTGCACAAACCAACTTCCCCGTTCAGCCCTGGGCACAGCAGAGGCCCCCAGGCCCTGGCCCCGCCCCTGGGCTCCCCGTGAGGGCCGGGCACCTGCTGCTGTGGCACCAGAACCTCACTTTGCCTGGGGCTCCTCAGACGCTCCCACAGGAGGTGCCAAGGTGTGGTCAGGGTCAGTCTTCGTGGTGCCCCCGACCCCCGAGCTGCCTGTGTCCGGGCAGTGCCTTTCTGGAGGACGGAGCCAAGACCTCCAGCTGCGCCGCGTGCAGAGAGGAGTGGGCCTTGTGGCTCAGCAGGTGCCTGCTCCTGCTTCCACCCAGCTTCCTGCCATGGCCTGCAAGGCAGTGGTGATGGCTCAAGTCCCTGGGCCCTGCACCCACGGGGGGACCCCAATGATGCTCCTGGCTCCTGGTTTCAGCCTGGCCCAGAACCAGCAGTGGAAAATACTAAACTTTTAAAAAAGATTTATCTTTTTTTAAGATTTATTTATTTATTTGAAAATCAGAGTTACCCAGAGAAGGAGAGAGAGCGGTCCTCCGTTTGCTGGTTCACTCCCCTATTGGCCATAACGGCTGGAGCTGCGCCAATCCGAAGCCAGGAGCCAGGAGCCAGGAGCTTCTTCCGGGTCTCCCACGCGGGTACAGGGGCCCAAGGACTTGGGCCATCTTCTACTGCTTTCCCAGGCCATAGCAGAGAGCTGGATCGGAGTGGAGCAGCTGGGACTCGAACCGGTGCCCACATGGGATGCCAGCGCGGCAGGTAGAGGCTTTACCTGCTACGCCACAGCGCCAGCCCCAGGTTTATGTCTTTATTTGGAAGTCAGACTTGGAGAGAGAGATCCAGAGCCCAGCCCTGGCTGTTGCAGCCATTTGGGGAGTGAACCAGTGGACAGAAGACCTCTACCTCTCTCGCTCGCTCGCTCTCTCTCTCCCCCTCCCTCCCTCCCTCTCTGTAACTCTGCCTTTCAAATAAATAAATAAACCTTAAAAACATGGGTAATTCGGCTGCATCCCAGCAGAACGGGAATACACTTCCCGGGTCAGGAATTCGTCCACAGAACTCAGTGGGCAGACAGCTGCAGGGAAGGGGTGCAGGCGTGAGGCGGGCGCCCCCCGAAGGCCACGCAGTGGGGCCCGGACACCCATGTGCCACGGGGCTGTTCCCCGGGACCCCCATGGCCAGCAGCCTGAGACCTAGAGCAGGCAGCGCCCGCTCTGGGGGACCCTCCTGGGCCTGTCCCTGAGCCACTGCTGACCCAGGCTCTGGTGGACACAGCACTCGGCCCCTGCTTCCCCCTTTGTGGGGGGGGGGGGCACCGTCGGAGCTGACAATACCGCAGGAGGCAACATGCGTGGTCTCCAGCTCCCGGCCTCAGGAACGGGCCACTGTGAGGGCCTCGGTGCCCTGTGCTGTCACCGTCACCAGGCCGTCCTGCTGCATCCCTGACTCTGTGTGAGGTTCCCGGCGTCCCAAGTCCTCCCCTGCACGCCCTTCCCTGGACGCCGAGGCTGGGCCCCCTCACGTCTGGGGGGTGGGACGAGACACCTGACAGCCCCCCCCCCAACCTCTTTCCAGAAGAGACAAAGCCCTTCCGGAACGGCACGGGCAGCCCCTGGCGTCCTGGCCAGGCCTGGCCGGGTGTGGGTGGCCAAGGCCAGCTGCTGGGAGAGCCGGGAAACGATAGCCACAAAGACACGCTTGTCCCCAGGACAGAGCCGGGCCTTGTCCAGCTTGGGCCTTGCCACCCCATCCCCCACCTCTGAGGTCTGCAGCCAGCAGCTCGGGCCCCTCCCCCAGGCCCCCGGCAGGCACTGCTGGGCAGCCCATGGGGTGAGTGGTTGAGGACACACTCGCTGGACCGGATGAACGCACCTGAACCCAGGTCTGGGGCCTGGCAGGAGGCCCCGGAGGCCAGTGCTCAGTGGGCGAAGGTTGCAACCTGTCACCCCCTGACCTGCAGGCCCCAGGAGGCGACCCTGGCAGCCAGCGCTGTAGGAGCCGAGAGACCTGGCTTGAGGGCCGGGGGCTGGGGTGTGGTCGGCCGTCCAGGAGGCACAGAGGGCAGCGGCCTGGGCATGGGAGGGCTCGGGGAGCGGAGGAACCACTGCAGGTTCTGGGCCCCAGCACTGAGGCTGCAGGGGAGGCAAGGCCTGCGGGTGGTGGGTGATGGGGCTGGCCCCCGGTCAGCAGAGGCCGCTCCTGGAGCAGGTGGAGCCCTGCGTCCCCACTGGTGGCCCTGATTCCCTACCGGCCAGAATGCAGGTTGCAGGGGGCCCATGGTCCTGCCCAAGGGGAGGGGACCCTCGTTCCCTGGCCTGGGGCACTGGCCAAGGGGCTGCAGCTCAGAGGGGACACCCCAGCTCCCCTGGATCTGGGTGGCCTGTCTGGGTGTCGATGGCAGAGGCCCACGAGGCTCAGCCCCCACTGCATCCCCGGACACCCCTCCCCTGCCCTGGGGTCGGTCCCGGGCTGCTTTGGACACCTTCGCTGCCCGCTCCGCCCAGGCTGGGGCCCCTCCTGGCGGCCGCTCGCCGCAGCTCGCAACGGGGCCAGCAGGGGGCGCCCTCAGCCTCCCCCGTGGCTGCGGCTCAGACGAGGCGGGGCCCAAACTCTTGGCTGGACTCAGGGTTTGCGTCCCAGCAGAAGAGCGGGCAGCCGGGGAGCCAGGATCATCCCGCGATCACCCCCTCCCCGAAACAGACACATGGCTGCCGGGAAGCTGACGGTTTAATGACAGGGAGCCCCCGCAGCGCCCGGGGCGGGCACACCAGCCAGCCGCCAAGGACAGGGCCCTGTGGCCTGGGGCCGCGTCAGAGCAGGCTCCGGGCTCTGCGGGGAGGGACGGGCTCCGAGGAAAGGACTTGTGTCCAGTCCATCCTCGGTCCTTTAAGGGGCTCGGGGCTCGGTGTGCACCCCACCCCACTCTGCGCCCAAGTCCTGTCCGGGAGCCTCTGCCCCGGCTGCTGCTGGCCGGGGTGCAAGGGCACATCCACAGGGGAGGCCACAGGAAGAACCCCCCACCTCCGGGGATTCTGTGGTCTGCAGGGGCTGGCACCGCCCAGCGGCAGCTTTGGCTGAGGCCCGCCGTGGACTGGGCTGGGGCTGGGGTGGCAGAGTCGCTGCCCACGGGTGTCGCTGGGCGGGAGGTACATCGCCTGCAGGCCCTCGGCCAGGGGCAGAGCCCGGCTGGGCACCGCGCCCCATCCGCGTCCTTGGTCGGAAATACACGTGCGGAAACCGCGCAGCGCGCACGGCCCGCACGGCTCAGCCCCTGCAGACGCGCGCCCCACGCCACAGGCGTCTAGCTGGCGTCCCGCCGCTGGTTCTTGGAATGGAACTTGCTCATGAGCTCCTCCAACTCCGACCCGCTCTGCTGCTTCTAAGGAGAAGAGACAGGGTGGCGTGGGCGTGGGCGCGCGCGCCGGGGCGGGGGGCGGGGGGCGCGTGGCGCGCGCTCACCTCCAGCACGGCCTTCTGCACCGTGAGCTGGCTGTACACGCGGGCGCCCTCCTCCCCGCACACCTTCCTCAGCTCGTCCTTGTTGAGCGAGAAGAGCTGCGGGCCCGTCAGGATGCCCAGGTTCTCCACGATTCTGCGGGCGGACGGGCGGAGGCAGTGAGGGCGGGCCGTGGGCGCCCCCGCCGCCCGCCAGCCCCGCCCCGCCGCTCACCGTGCGCTAAAGGCCTTGGCTTCCAGCCAGGCGCGGACCTCTTCCGGGCCGGAGTCGAAGCTGAGCGGTGGGTGCGCGGGGGCGCTGCGCTCGGCGCGGGGCTGGCGCGGCGGCTGCGCGCGGATGTGGTTGATTTTGCGCACCAGCTCGTCGTTGACCTCGTCCATGTGGTGGATGAGCTCTGCGGGGGTGGGGGGGGACAGCGGGCTCAGCCGCCAGCCCGCCGGCCGCTCCCCTCCTCGCACCCCCCCCCCCGCCCCGCACAGCACCCGCTCACCGTCTTTGTTCCCCGCAAAGCTCGGGGGCAGCTTGTGGGTCGGGCTGGCTGGACCCCAGTACTTCTGTCCAGCCTGCGGGGTCGGGGTCGGGGGGTATCAGGCGCTCCGCCCGCCGCTCCTCCCGCCCTGCCCCCGCCTCCCGCGCCCGGGTGCGGGATCCCCTGGCCAGCCCCGGACAGTGCCTGGAGCAGCCCGGACTCCAGGGGGCGCGCAGACGTGGCTACCCCTCCCCCACCCCTGCTGCGGGCCCTGGGCAGGACGGAGCCCGGGCGGGCGGGCGGGCGGGCACCTCGAGCGGGCCGGCCGCGTCCTCGGGCCGGGCTTCGGCCAGGATGTTGCAGGGCACGTAGCCGGCCTGGCCACTGCGGTTGCACAGCTTCCACCACTGCCGGCCGTCCTCCAGCACCTGCGGGCAGTGGCGGGTGAGGCCCGCACACCCCACCCCGCCCTGCTCACAGCTCCCACAGCAGCCCGGGGCCTTCCCCACGGCCAGTGGATGGAGACCCCTCCCCCGCCAGCCCACCGCTCACAGGGAGCACTCCCGGAGCCCTTCGAGGCCTGTCCTAGCCCCCTGCGGGCCTCCCCTCCCCCGCCCCTTTCCCTGGGGGCTGGCCGGCCTGGATTCCACCGGGTGGGATGCGGCTCCTGCACCAGTGAGTGACAGCCTGGCCAGGTCTCCTGGAGGGTCCCCACCTGCCAGAGGCTGCTCAGCCCAGCCCCCGCTCAGCCAGGGAGCCCCCTGCCCCAGCTGGAGCTGCCCCGTGGGGGCCCCGTGGGGGGTTGGGCTGCAGCCCTCACCTCCAGGACCTCATCCTTGAGCACGGACAGCTCATTGGCGTTGCGGGCGGTGAAGTCGTAGAGGATCCTGACGTACTTCGCCATGGCCGGCGTGGGCTGGTGGCCCCTGCGTGGGACAGGAGGGGCTCAGCGCAGGGCTGGACTGGGCCGGGCCGGGCCTTCCCGGTGCAGTGCCTCAGCCGCGCAGCGGTCCAGGTCACAGCGCAGTGAGGCTGCGCTCCTCGGCCCGGAATGAAAACTGTGACAGCCCCAGAGCGCTGGGCCGCGGAGGTGGGCGGGGCTGGCCCCAACCCAGGCCACCCAGGGGCCTCCAGCTGAGAAGCCTGCACCTGCACCCCACACAGCAAGCCTGGGCTGCCCGGTCAGTGTGGCGCTGGCCACAGGGCAGCTCCCTGGGGAGGGGGACGCTTCTCACGGCTGCCGGGACAAGGGGCGTGGCGGGCTTGGTTAAACGTGGGAGACCTGGACAGAGCTCGGGTCCCAGTTCTGCCAGGCCCAGCTACTTGGGGATGGATGGAGACCTCTCTCTCCCTCTTTCAAGTAAACAGTCAACAAATCACAAAGCAGGGTCGTGTTGTGGCACAGCGTGTGTGTGCACCTCGCCTTGGTGTCCCGGCTGCTCGGTCTCCCACTAACGCTCCTGGGAGAGCAGATCCCGGCCCAGGAGCTGGCCCCTGCCGCCTACGTGGGAGACCTGGATGAGCTCCAGGCCCTCGCCTGGCCCAGCCGTGCCCACTGTGGCCGTTTGGGGAGTGAACCAGCAGATGGAAGATCTGTCTGTCTCTCCCTCTCTGTCATTCTGCCATCCAGATAAATAAATAAATCTTTAAAAAGAATGAAATACAATGCAGGCTGTGGCCCCTGCCCCTGGTGGTGAGAGACACTCCCCAGGCAGGCCCTGGGCCAGGACCCAGAGCAGAGCGGGGGTGAGGGTGGGGGGGGGCAGGGAGGTGAGGGCCAGGTCACGCACCAGGAGGGACGGCTCTGGCGCGGGCACATCCTCGCCCTGGGACCTCCGTGAGCTCAGCAAAGCCCTGTTTATTCCCAGGTCACCTGCTCCAGGTGTTCTCTTATAGCACCAGGGAGGGGCTAAGGCAGGAACCTCCTCCCCTTGACTCACAAGGAAGCGTGGAGGCAGCGAGGGCTGAACCCCCACCGGTACACAGCGCGGTGGCAGCCTACACGCGGGAGAGCCCCTGTGCTTTGGAGAGTGAGGGTCGCGCCCTGAGCGGGGCTCACCTGTGACCGTGTGTGGGGCCAGCGGCCAACAGGGCCTCCCCCGGGGGCGTGGCCTCAGGGGCAAGGCCGTGCTTCAGGGAGTTGCGGAAGGACAGTCGGCTCCCTGGAGTCAGCTGTGGGGAAAGCAGACGCTGTGGGCGTGCCGAGCCGGGAAGGAGGGAGGGACCAGGCCCGGGCCAGGCGGGGGCCGCGGGACTGGGGACTCGGGGAACCAGCTGTGACGGAGGCATCACCAAGACAGAGCCAGACACCCGGGCGGGGCCACAGGGACGTGGACGGGGCTGGGGGAGAGGAGCCAGCCCAGCTCTGGGGGGGGGCTGGGGGAGAGGAGCCAGCCCAGCTCTGGGGGGGGGGCTGGGGGAGAGGAGCCAGCCCAGCTCTGGGGGGGGGGCAGCCGGGTTGCAGCGGGGCTGTGAGGACTCTGACCTCAGCATCTGGGGCCGGGGCCAGGCCCTCCACCTCCCAGGGGGCCTCCTGCAGCACGTCCAGGGGCGGCTCCCAGCCGCTGTGGAACCTGGGCACGTAGAGGAGCACCTGCGGCTCCCGTGGCCACTCAGCGCTGGAAGGAAAGTCCCGGGGGTCAGTGGCAACCCGGCCAGAACCCCCATCCGGGTGTGCCCCCACTCCTTCCCCGCCACACGGTACCGGGGCCTTGTCCAGGTCTCCCCCAGCGACTCCCACAGTGCCATCTCTTTGGGCACCAGGTGGCCGCGCAGGAAGCCCACGGCGTCCCTGGACAGCAGGGGGCTGGACACGGAGCGGGCAATGTCGGGGCCCCCGCAGGTGTTCACGATCTGCGGTACAGCGGGGTTCAGATGGGCCCCAGCCCCTCCACCCTCCGCCTGCAGCTCCCGGGACCCCAGCTCTCCCACGCCCCGCCCCCGCGCCCCCAGCACCAGGTCCAGAGGGCCCCAGCCCCTCCTACTCCCCGCCCCCCAGCACCAGGTCCAGGGTCCCCAGCCCCTCCCACGCCCCGCCCCCAGCACCAGGTCCAGGGTCCCCAGCCCCTCCCACGCCCCGCCCCCAGCACCAGGTCCAGAGGCCCGAAGAGGAAGTGCACGAGCTCCGCTGCACTGGGGTTCTGGATGTGCTTCCGCAGCTTGGCCTGGGGGGGCACAGGGGGCGGGGTCAGGTGGGGGCGGGGACACGGGCGGGAGGGGACAGGTGAGAGCAGGGACACGCGCGGGAGGGGGACAGGTGGGGGCGGGGACACGGGCGGGAGGGGACAGGTGGGGGCGGGGACACGGGTGGGATGGGTCAGGTGAGGGCGGGCACAGGGGGCAGGGTCAGGTGGGGGCGGGGACACGGGCGGGAGGGGGACAGGTGGAGACGGGGACACGGGTGGGATGGGACAGGTCGGGGCGGGGACACGGGCGGGAGGGGACAGGTGGGGGCGGGGACACGGGTGGGATGGGTCAGGTGAGGGCGGGCACAGGGGGCAGGGTCAGGTGGGGGCGGGGACACGGGCCGGGGGGGGGGACAGGTGGGGGCGGGGACACGGGCGGAAGGGGGACAGGTGGGGGCGGGGACACGGGCGGGATGGGTCAGGTGAGGGCGGGGACGCGGGCGGGAGGGGGACAGGTGGGGGCGGGGACACGGGCAGGGGGCAGGTGAGGGCGGGTACACGGGCGGGAGGGGACAGGTGGGGGCGGGGACACGCGGGGGCGGGGACACGGGCGGGGGCAGGTGAGAGCAGCGGGCCGGAGGCGCCACGCACCAGCAGGTTGAGCGCCAGCTTGGTCTTCTGGAAGCAGTCCACAAACTCGCTCTCGGATGGCGGCCGCGCCCGCAGTGTGAGAACGCCCTCTGCGGGTGGGGCAGCCCTGAGCCGCGGGCGCTGCGGGCGGTGCGGGCGCGGCCCCGCGGCCCCCCTCCGCCGCCCGCGCGCACCTGCCGGCCCCTCCCCGCCCGCGCGCACCCGCGGCCCCCGCGCGCACCTGCCGGCCCCTCCCCGCCCGCGCGCACCCGCGGCCCCCGCGCGCACCTGCCGGCCCCTCCCCGCCCGCGCGCACCCGCGGCCCCCGCGCGCACCTGCCGGCCCCTTGCGGGCCTTCTTCTTGCCCTTCTTGCGTTGGTTCAGCTGCTTGAACGCCTCGGCCGCCTTCTGCAGCCGCGCCACGAACCACTCGATGTCGTCCAGGGCGCAGTTGAGGATTTGCTGCGGTGCGGGGGGCAGGGGTCAGCGGCCGGGGGCCCCTCCGCGGCGGGGGGAGACCGCCCCGCAGGCGCCCGGCCCGCACCCACCGTCTCCTTCTCGATCTTCTGCGCCAGGGCGGCCCGGGGCTCCTCGTCCTGCGAGTCCTGGCGGCAGAAGCCTGGCGGGGGACAGCGCAGCTGTGGACCCCGGCCCGCCCCGCCCCGAGCGCGCCCCGCCCACCCCCGTCGCGCACCTGGCTCGCCGGCGGGCGCCCAGGCCCCCACGCGGTTCCTGGCCTGAGCCGAGTCCCTGCCGAGGCGCTGGAAGGGCACGGGGGCCGGGCCCTGGGGAGGGGGCAGGATCGACTGCCGCTGCCGAATCTTCTCCTGGTGGCCCCTGGCGGCACAAAGACCGCCCCGCTTAGCCGGGCCAGGCGACCCCGCCCCGCCCCGCCCCCCCGCGAGACCCCCGCCCTACTTGAGGGTCTGCGGCCGCGTCTTCTTGCCCAGCCGGCAGTCGGCCAGCGCGCTCTCGATGTCCTCGTGCACCAGCTCCGCCTGCGGGCCCGGGGCGTCAGGGCGGTGGGCGCAGCGCGGGGCCCACGGCCGCCGCCCCCCGGCCGGTCCTCACCTCCACCTCGTCGCAGTGGAAGAAGTGGACGTCGGGCTTGGTCTGCTCGGGGTCCTGGCACACGAGCAGCAGCACGGACGCGTAGCGCAGCTGGTTCAGCACCGTCTGGCTGAGCTGCACGGTGGCCAGCGGGAAGTTCTCCAGCTCCTCCTGCGGGCGGGCGGTCAGGCGCGGCGGGCACACGGCCACCCGCGACTCGCGGCACACACACCTGTGGGCCCCAGCCGCGCCCCCAGGCCCCCCCCCGCCCGGCCGGGCCGCACCTGGGACTCCACGTCCAGCAGCCGCACGCAGCGGTCGTCCACCTGCAGAAGCATCTCCTGCGTCCAGATCTTGTCCTTGGAGCTCAGCTGCACCAGCTTGCGGATGGCGTCGTCCACGGACGCGATGGCCTCGCTCTTGTCCATGATAAACGTGGCCAGGTGCTGGGGAGGGGCGGGCCACTGCTGGGCTCAGCGCTGCCTGTGCTGGCCCTCAGGTGGACATCAGTGGGGGCCGTAACCAACCCCACCGGGCAGTGTTGTGGGCTCCACTCTCCCAGCCCCCTCCCCACGGGGCTCCCGGTGACCACTGGCCTTTGCCAGACCAGTCCCTGCTCCTGTGCCTCTGCAGGCACAGCCACAGCCCCAGGGTGGGGGGGGCTGCCAGGGCGGGGCTCTGCAGGCTGGTTTGCTGCTGTCTCCCAGCTCCCGCCATGGCCCGGAGCATCCACCCGGGCCCTCACTGAGCCACAAACCCAACACGGACTGGGACCCTCAGACACTAAACTCGAACACGACACCACGGAAAGGCCCCCGGAGGACACCCGGGGCAGCTCCCCACGGCCTGCTCCGTGGGTGCTACCTAAGCAAAAGCAAAACCTGACACCAACAAAGCTGCAGAAGACAGGATCTCCGCCCGGTCCCTGGGAAACGCCACGGAGAGGGCGGACACAGGCAGCAGGAAGTTTCCTCACAGAGGGGACAGCGTTCACCCCGAGGCGGCAGAGGGCAGGGAGCGTGGACAAGCGGCCCAGGCTTGAGCGGCGAGGCCACGGAAACGGACTCAGTGACCACTCAGGAGCCTGCGCCCCCGGCCCTGCGGCTCTGCTGTTTGGGGACGGATCGACCGACACGGAGAGGCCTGGTGTCACCCCCGCGGGCTCCCACCCCAACCTGGCTGGCCCCCGCGGGACAAGGCGGGGACACACACCTCTCCCCCAGCTCCCACACGTGTCACAGCCAGGCCGGCCAGCCTAGGGGCCAGCAAGAGGGGACAGAGAGAGTGGGCAGGAGCTCCCAGGGGCTGTGTGCATGAGGCCGGACACACCTGGAACACACACTGCTGGGAGAGACCAGCACAGCCAGGAGATACGGCCAGGCCACTGTACTGGGCCAGGCCCCTGGACCACTGGACACAACAGGAGGACACGACCAGAAGCTCCTGGCTCCTGCTTTGGCCTGGCCCAGCCCTGGCCATTATGGCCATCTGGGGAATGAACCAGTGGGTGGAAAACCTCTCTTCTCTCTCTCTCTCTCTCCCTCCCTCTCTGTAACTGTCTCTCAAATAAATAAATAAATGAATCTTAAAACGAAACAGACACTGCCGCCTGCATCCCACATCACAGGGCCTGGGTTCAAGTCCCAGCCCCGCTTCTGAATCAGCTCCCTGCTAATTCACCTGGCAGGCAGCAGTGAGGGCTACGTGCTTAGGCCCTGCCACCCATAGAGGAGACCCAGAAGGAGTGCCTGGCTCCTGGCTTCAAGCTGGCCCAGCCCTGGCTGTTGTGGGCATTTGGAGAGTGAACCAGCTGTCTGTCTCTCACTTTCTGCCTTTGAAGTAAATAAAATAAAGAAATACAAATTGGGGCTGGCATTGTGGCACAGTGCAAAGCCAGCTTCTCGTAGGAGCGTTGGATCAGGTCCCGGCTGCTGCTCTTCCGATCCAGCTCCCTGCTGTGGCCGGGGAAAGCAGTGGAGGACGGATCAAGTGCTTGGGCCCCTGCACCTGCGTGGGAGACCTGGAGGAAGCTCCTGGCTCCTGGCTTCGGCCTGGCCCAGTCTCAGGGTCACTGCAGCCATTTGGGGAGTGGTCCAGCAGGTGGAAGATCTCTCTGTCTCTCTCCTCCTCTATCTTTGTAATTCTGGCTTTCAAACAAATAAGTCTTTTTAAAAAAGAAATAAAACTTAAACGTGAAAGGTGCAAGGGCAGGCATCGGCCTAGAGGCTAAGGCCAGGTGAAGACGCCTTTACGTACTTGACAGGTAGAGAGGGAGGTCTTCTCTCTGCTGGTTCACTCTGCAATGGCCAGGGCTGGGCCAGGCCGAAGCCAGGAGCCAGGAGTTTCCTCCGGGTCTCCCAGCGTGGGTGCAGGGGACCAAGCAATTGGGACATCTTCCACTGCTTTCCCAGGGCATAGCAGGGAGCTGGGTTGGAAGTGGAGCAGCCGGGACTTGAACCTGTGCCCACATGGGATGCCGGCACTGCAGGCAGCGGCTGAGCCCACGGCACCACGGTGCCAGCTGCTTGACCACAGCTTTCTGCCAGTAAGGACCCTGGGAGGTGCAGTGGTGGCTCAAGTGTCAGGGTCCCTGCCCCCCACCTGGGAGCCCTGGGCCATCAGCTGGCCCATCCTGTCTGTGGGGAGTGAACCAGAGGATGGGCGCTCTCCCTCCGTCTCTATCTATTCAAATAGTGTAAATGAATAACTAAAAAAACCAAAGGGGGCATCCCCACAGATCTTAGAGACGCGAAGGGAATTCTGACCAAAGTCTCCCCACAAAGAAAGCTGTGCCCCCAAAGGCCCCCAGGGGCCCTAGAGACCACGTGAGGAAGAAGCAACAGCAGACGAGACAGCGAGGCCCTGACACCTGCCCAGGTCTGTCCGACAGCAAGGCAAGGGGGTCAGATGCCTCGGACGCCTCAGAGAGGAGAGTCGGCCCGGCCGACGCCCCAGCGGCCAACCCTGCCCCGCCGGCGCCTGTCCCGGCTGCTCCACTTCCTGTCCAGTTCCCCCTGATCGCCTGGGAGGGCGGCAGAGGTCGGCCCAGGTTCCTTGGCCCCTGCACGCATGAGGGAGACCTGGAGGAAGCCTGGCCCGGCCCCGGCTGTTCCGGCCACCTGGGGGGGACTCAGCGGATGGAAGGCCCCTCTCTCTCAGTCTCCCCCTCCCCGGGTCTCTGGCCTCCCAGTCAGCAGACCTGATGCTGCCCTGAGCAGGGGCGGTGGGCGGTGGGCAGTGGGTGGTGGGCGGTGGGCGGAGCAGCCCCACGGGGAGGGGACGCTCACACGGGGGAAAGGCCGCGCGGAAGCAGGGGTCCCAGCGGGCCACGGCCCCCACGGCGGGATGGCAGCGGCCTCTGAGAACAGAGGGTGACCGCGGGCCATCAAAACCGGACCTCCGAGCAGCCGGAGGCGGCGTCCAGGTCCCACTCCCGCCCCACTCCTGCTCACGTTGGTCCCGGGGGCCCTTCCACCCCCGCGGGAGACCTGGACGGAGTTCCCGGCCCCTGGCTCGGGCCTGGCACGGCCACCGCAGGCATCGGGGACTGAGCCGGCAGATAGGGGCTCTTGTGGCTCAGCGTTTTGGGGCGACAGTGGTGGTGACACAGCTGCAGGGTACCCCGCTGGACCCACCGCACAAGACAAAGGAGCTCACCCACAGACACGGGCCTCGGGGATCAGGGTGGGTCTGGCCCGCGCCCTCGGGCCCCGGGCGGGAAAACCCCACACACTGCACACCCCTGCTGTCCTCTGGGAGGGCAGAGCCAGGCCAGCAGGAGCAAAGTCCAGGCACCCGGCCAGGAGGCCCAGGCAGCTCCTCACCGCTGAGGGCAGAGTCCCGGGCAGAGAGGTGCTGGCATTGCCGGGAAGGAACCGCAGGACACCTCTGTGCCCGGCCCACGGGCTCCGAGCCGGCAGCCGCCGCCCACTGGGCCACGCAGCCCAGCAGGAGTGCCCTGGTCACGGCCCAGGCTGCGAGGCCTCGGGACTCCTGGAGGTTCCTTGTACCCATTCCACAGAGGAGGAAGCTGAGGTGTGGGAGAGACGCCCCATCACTGCAGCCGGGGCCACGCAGGCTCCCCTCCCCCACAGCCCCTGTGCCAGGCCGGCCAGCTCCCGGGCACAGGAGGGCTGAGCCGGTGCGAGGCAGACCCTGGGCTGCCAGTGACAGCTGAAGGGATGGAGACCCGAGTGGAGTCGCCGCTCCTGGCTTCCGCCTGGCCTGGGAGCCTCCCCGCCCTGTGTGTCCCCTGCTTCTCAGAACTCTGGTGATGGGTTATAAAACTCGGACAGCGCCTCCTCGGCTGACCACAGAGGGGGCCACCTTCCACCTCCACATCCAGGCCCCCGCCCGGGGACACAGCGCCCAGGAGTCTCCCTGGGCAGTACTGGTCAGTGGCACCCCCTGGGGAGGGAAGCGGCTGCTGCAGGTGTCAGCCGGGGCCTCCCCTCCCCTGCCGGCCCAGGGGCCTCACCTGCACGTGGTACTGGGAGGTCTCCTGCATGATGACGTTGGAGTTGGAGTATTTCTTCCTCTGCTCTGATGTGGGGAGACTCAGTCAGTCCAGGGGACAGGGCCACCACAGGGGACAGAGTCGGGTGAGGGGTTGGGAAGTCCCCCAGCGTCCGTGGAGGGGGCAGCGGCTGCCTGTGCCTGGAGGGCTGCCCCCCCCCACCCTCACAGCTGCTGGCTACAAAGCCCCCGCACCCCTCTTGCTTTCCAGATGGGGGTGTTCAAATGGGGGGTGTGGTGGGCTGGGGGCAGGGACTCAGGCAGGAACAGGACAGGGCTGGGGGAGGGTGGCCAGCCCCCTCCCCCCCGCCGACACCGGGCTGCTCACCCCCCCCCCCCGCCCGCGATCAGGTTCCTGTGAGCAGCACGGGATCAATATTGATGCTCCCTGAATTATTTGTGAAGGCCGCTCCCCTTACGGGTGGGGGAGGGGCGTTTTGCCGCTGCTCAGAGCACCAGGGTAGCCAGGGTGGGGGAGCCGCGAACCTCACTCACCAAACAGGTCCTTGGCACTCATCTTGGCCACGCCATCGGCCCGGCCCAGGCTGCCACTGCGGGGGAGGGGCAGGTGAGGCCACAGCCGGGGCAGGGGCACCCCTCCCCGGGGGCCCGCGGTGGGCATGGGGCTCGGCTCACTTGGTGGCACCCGGGCAGCAGCTCACGGACCCTGAGTGGCTCATGGCGTCCTCGGTTCTCAGAGGCGGTGGCCGGCGGCGCAGACCTCAGCCCGGTGCAGTCTGGAGCCCGGGGCCCTGCTCACAGCTGAGTGGACAGGGGAGCTGAGCTGACACCTCCTGGCCTGGCCGGGGCCTGGGCAGGGGTCCTCAGGAAGCAGAGCCCCTGCCCTGGGCCCCACCTCGCCCCAGACCCTCTCTCTGGTCTAAGCGGGCTGGGGGTGCTGGGATGACAGTGCCCAGGTCCTGGGGGCCAGCGGGGCAGGAGGGCGGGGCTGTGGAGAAACAGCCCGGAAGAAGCCCCCGCCCCAGGCCCCGTCCCTGCTCCCCCAAGGCCTCTGCCTCCGCTGGCGCTGCCCAGGGACTCGTGCTCCTACACAGACTGGCCCCTGGCTCCCTCTTCGGTCTGGGGGCTCTCGGGGGGCCGGAGCAGGTTGTGTGCACGGAGTCCTGGGGTCCCAGCCACCCAGAAGGCTCCCCGCGGAGAGGGTCCCGGCCAGGACAGGACCCCTGACAGGAGGCCCAGCAAGGGGGAGTGGGCGGGGCAGCACTGCTGCCCAGAGGGGTGCCTGGCCCCTCCCCGGGGGGCGGCGGAGCCTGTGTCCCCAGCCAGACTGACGTCCTGTGGGCTGCTGGGCAGGGCCCTCCTGGGGGTGTCCAGGCGTGGCCCGGGGGGCTTGGCCGGATTCCTCTGTCCACCCGTCTGTGCAGTATGTCCGGAATGTTCATGACCTCAGTGGGTGAGTCCCGGTGTTTGCTTAATGAAATTCCTGGCTGGCTCAGCCAAGGCGCTGGCACGTGGGGCCAGTGTGCACGTGTGCGCACACGAACACACACACACACGCAGCAACACAGCAACACCACAGATACACACAGATCCAACACACACAGACACGATACACTCACACACACACAGACACCACACACACACAGACACCACACACACATACACACAGACACGATACACAACACACACACAAATACCACACACACATACACACAGAGCAACACCATAGATACACAGACACCACATACAACACACAGACACCACACACACATCAACATCTCACAGACACAGACACCACAAACACACGCAGCAACACAGCAACACCACAGATACACACAGATCCAACACACACAGACACGACACACTCACATACACACAGACACCACACACACACACACAGACACCACACACACACACAGACACCACACACACACACACACAGACACGATACACAACACACACACAAATACCACACACACATACACACAGAGCAACACCATAGATACACAGACACCACATACAACACACAGACACCACACACACAGACACACAACACACATCAACATCTCACAGACACAGACACCACAAACACACGCAGCAACACAGCAACGCCACAGATACAGACACCACACACAATACACACACAGACACGATACACTCACATACACAGAGCAACACCATAGATACAACACAGACACCACACACACGTCAACACACACCATCACACACACACAGCACACACATGCACAGACACAAACGCCATACACACATGTACACATATCACATATGTCAACACACAGCACACACAGACACCATACACACACATACACACATCACAACACAGCATACAAACACACCATGCACTACACACAAACACAGATTCTCTGATACACGCACACACGTGGGCACACACATGGCACACACAGGGGCACACACACGGCACACGGAGGGGCACACACACGGCACACACAGGGGCACACACACGTGGGCACACACACGGCACACACACGTGGGCACACACACGGCACACACAGGGGCACACACACACGGCACACATAGGCTGAGACTTGCGCATGCTGTGTCTTCTGCTCCCTGGGGGGCGGCAGGGGGCATCAGGCCCCAGGTGGGGATCAGGCCCCGGGGTGGGTGGGGCCCCAGGGGCTTGGGCTGCACTTTGGCTCACGGTCATGGCTTTCCGGGTCTGCAGGCAGGGCCAGGCATGCACGGTGCCCAGCTGGCCCCACGGGCTCCAAGTTCAAATTCCAGCTCCACGCTGGGTGACCTTGGGGAGGGGTCAGCTTACTCACAGGGGCTCCTGGCTGCCCTCCAGGAGCTGGGCGGGGCCCTGGGGTAACCCTGGGAGGCTGTGAGTGGAGAGACCCCGAAGGGCCTGGGGGTGTGCCCGGTGGGCCCAGGAGACGCGCCTGGCATCCGGTGGCCTTGGGCAGCAGTGGGAGGGGAGGGGTGGGGCAGAGGTGGTCTGGGGCGGGCCTCAGGGGACGACCAGTCTGCCTTCTGTCCCCTGCCACCAGGGCCTGGGAGCCCTCGGGATCCTCCCCGAAGCACCGGAGGCCCAGCCGGGACCGGAACCTGGTCCTGGAGGCCCTGCCTGGCTCGGACACCCAGGAAGTGCCAGGTCGGGCAAGGGAAGCCCCTCTCCCTACCTCCCCCGAGCCGACCTGGGGGCTGGGAGGGGGCGGCCGCGTAGGGTGAGTCACCGCGGCTGCCTTGAAGACGTCGGTGCGCCCGGCGCCTCCCAGCACCGACGGGCAGGCCCTGCCCGGCCCGGCCCGGGCCCCCAGCGCACCGAGAGCCCCGCGCCCGGCGCCCCCGCCCGCGCGCCTCGGCGGAGCGCTCACCTGCTGCCCGCGAAGGTCCCTCGGCCCCGCGTCCGCCGCCGTCCCAGTCTGTCCGCGCCTGGGCCGCCGCGCTCGGTGTCCGCGGACGGGCGGGACGCGCGGCGGGGCGGGGCGGGCCGGACGGGGCGAGGTGGAACCTGAGCGACAGGTTCGGAGTCACCGGGGTGCGCGGGGCGGGGCCCGGAGCCTCGCCCCCGCCCTCCGGCCCCACCCCCAGTCCTGCGCGGCCCCCGACCCAGCTGGGCCCCCCGGCGCGGGCGGCACGGAACCGGCAGAGCTCGCCCCGCAGGTGTGGGGGCCCCGGGGTCGCTGCTGGCACTGGCGGCCCGCTGAGGGCTCCAGCCGCGAGGAGGCCAGGGCTGCGTCCCCGGCCACAGGTGTCCCCCGCGGGCCCCAGGTCCAGAGGGATCCCCTTTCGGTTCAGCCCAGCCCCGACCCCCATTACTGGGGAGCGGCCCGGCTCCGGCTGTGCGGGGGTCAGAGGCGGTTCTGAGCGCCTCAGATGGGCGGGGCCACGCAAGCAGCCTCCAGCCTGGACACCTGAGTGAGGGCGGGGCTCCCTCTCCCTCCCCAAGGCCCACATCTCTGGGACCCCGGGGACAGGTCGGAGGGCAGGTGCCCTGGGCTGGTAGGCGAGAAGGAAGTGCACACGGGCAGAGGTCAGGCCCAGGCCACGCTGGACCCGCCCTAGGGACCCACAGGCTCTGACTGCTGCTAGGGAGGCCAGGCCAGGTCCAAGGTCCCAGGAGGGCCGGTGGCACCGCAGCTGGGCTGTGCAGACAGACAGGAAGTGGCGCGGGGCCTGCCCAGGGCCGGTGGGGCCTGGCTTCCTGGTTTATGGCCTTTGCGGCTGATCTGGAACACACCTGGATCCCGCTGCCCACGTGACCTCGCCCTGCCCCAGCAGCCCAGGCCCGCAGTGGGCACCGTCCACGCCGAGTCAGCAGTCTCCTTTGCGCCGCTGTCTGCGCCCCCTCCCCCAGGGGGACACTGCCTCCTGCAGGCGGGGGCGGGGTGTGTAGGCCGGGGGAGGCCCAGCTCCTGCTGGCCACTGCAGCCTCTCCAGCCAAGAGCAGAGCCTGAGCTCCCGCCAAGGCCGTGGGGAAGGCGGGCGGGGGGCAGTGACGAGCAGACATCCAGGGGCTCCAACGTTTATTTAAAAAGTGCACAGAACAAGCTCTGGTCCGAACAAGAGGCGTGGGGAGGGGTCAGCTCGGACGCCTTCCTCGGGGCTGGGGAGGGGTCAGCTCGGGCGCCTTCCTCGGGGCTGGGGAGGGGTCAGCTCGGGCGCCTTCCTTGGGGCTGGAGAGGGTCAGCTCGGATGCCTTCCTCGGGGCTGGGGAGGGGTCAGCTCGGGCGCCTTCCTCGGGGCTGGAGAGGGTCAGCTCGGACGCCTTCCTCGGGGCTGGGGAGGGGTCAGCTCGGACGCCTTCCTCGGGGCTGGGGAGGGGTCAGCTCGGGGCTGGAGAGGGTCAGCTCGGATGGCTTCCTCGGGGCTGGGGAGGGGTCAGCTCGGGCGCCTTCCTCGGGGCTGGGGAGGGGTCAGCTCGGGCGCCTTCCTCGGGGCTGGGGAGGGTCAGCTCGGACGCCTTCCTCGGGGCTGGGGAGGGGTCAGCTCGGACGCCTTCCTCGGGGCTGGGGAGGGGTCAGCTCGGACGCCTTCCTCGGGGCTGGGGAGAAGCTGCAGCTGGGGGCCCAGGCCCGAGAGCCGCCCACTTCCTCCACACCTGTTTCTTTAGGAAGCCGGACGCGGCCTGGCCCAGGCCCCCCAAAGCCCCTGCCCTGGGCTGTGCTGTCCAGCAGGGACCCTGGCGACTATGAAGGCACCGGAAACCAGCGAGGAACCACGGGCCTCCCGGGGGCGAAGCCGGCAGGAAGCAGCCTCTCTGAGCGGCCACGGGGCTCTGTCCTCCCTCGGCCCGAGGGTCAGGGGTGCCGCCCTCAGTCCTGGGCAGACGCTCCCCGTGAGCAGCAGGTCCTGGACGGAGGCAGAGGCCTGGGGGCAGGGGCTCCTCGGCGGCGGCTACCTCACCAAGGCGGCGATGACCACCAGCTGCAGGACGGCCTCCAGGCCGTGCAGCGCCAGGCGCGCGGCCCCGAGGGCCGAGTCCGCCCACAGCACCAGCGTCTGCCGGAGCAGGAAGTGGACGGCCAGGAGGGCGCTGACCGCTGTGAGGGCCAGGCTGGCGGCCAGCGGCCCCTCGGCCTCCGTCAGGTTGCCCTTGGTGCCTGGAGAGCAGAGCGAAGGTTGAGGGGGCTGCGGGGGCTCCTGCCCGAGCCTCAGCGCCTCTCAGCTGAGACCGATTTTTTTTTTTTTTTTTACAGGCAGAGTGGACAGTGAGAGAGAGACAGAGAGAAAGGTCTTCCTTCGCTGTTGGTTCACCCTCCAATGGCCGCCGCGGCCGGCGCACCGCGCTGATCAGAAGGCAGGAGCCAGGTGCTTATCCTGGTCTCCCATGGGGTGCAGGGCCCAAGCACTTGGGCCATCCTCCACTGCACTCCCTGGCCACAGCAGAGAGCTGGCCTGGAAGAGGGGCAACCGGGACAGAACCCGGCGCCCCGACCGGGACTAGAACCCGGTGTGCCGGCGCCGCTAGGCGGAGGATTAGCCTGTTGAGCCATGGTGCTGGCAACTGAGACTGATTTTGTTGAAAACCCCTGAGGCACCTGGCCCTGGGCTGAGGTCAGCTTTGGACAATTTCAGGAACACCCAACAGACCAAACTGCACCCTCCTGGGATGGCCCCGTCCCCGTGGAGGAGCCGAAGCGGTGACAGCGAGGACGCTGGCTCGCTCCCCTACGCCCCGCGGAGTC